AACTGGTCTCAAGCAGGCATGCGAGGTAGCGTGCGCTCATGGGCAGCGTCATCCTGAAGAGCTCCACGACGAAGTTGTTGGATGTACCTGGCGAGCGGGGCTGCTACTCCTCCCGCAGGGTCTTGGGATCTAGAGGGGTGTCGCACTACACGCATGAATCATGACCTAAGGCTCCCAGCAGGAAAGTGTAGAAGTAGCTGCGCTTGCTGTCGTTTAGGGTCGTTCTCCCTCCCCTGGGTTGGGGTTTCCTCCGTCCCTTTAATTCGGGCAGCTCTGCATCCAGCCATGGGCCGTGTGTTCTGCCGACTGCTTCACCTGGTGCTCTGTTGGTGGCTTCTTAGCTCCTCGCAAGCTGGCAACGATGAAGACGCAGCGAGGACTGGCATCTCCATTGCCCCTACGAGCAAGGCATCACCACCAACGGCTTTGGCCTCGACAAGAGTGGCTCTCACTGCTGAGCAAATGCAGCACGAAGCACTTTTGGAGCTCCTGATCTCTCAAGATGCTGATATGGCTGCTCTCTTTTCTCCACAGGCCATGGTGCCGATGCTTGGACAAGCGGCCAGCGGATCAGGCAATCAACTTGCTATCCAGGGGACCTCCTCTTCGGCCTCGGCGATGACAGCTGCGATGGCAACCTCTGCCAACTTGGGCACTGATGCGGCACATGCGACTGGCACTGGACAGGCCGACCCAGACGTCCAGGATGATGTGCAGACGGTGTCCCCTGAGACGCTACGTCAACTTCAAGAGCAGGGCACAGTGGAGCAGCCTACTGGAGAGGTAAACCCACGACCAGGACTGCTGAGGTGTGAATCCACGGGCGAGTGGCACTTCTTGAATCCGTACGGTGGAGTTACTGCCCTGGTGTATGGGGGAACAACGCCCCCGGAAGCCGCTTCAACTGGCACAGGTAATGGTCCCGCTCCGAGCACGCCACCGACGGTCACCACTGGCAACAGGGACACGGAGCACTTGGCCGGCACAACGCAAGAAACGATGCCCAAGAAGCGACGGCCACCACTACCCTTGCATCTTCGAACAAGAGGTGGGATCTACATTCAGCGTGGCCTTGCATTTCACATAAGCCATTTGCAGACCCCCCACTTGCAGGAAATCCACCAGGGCGACCGGCAGCAGAATAAGTGGCCTCTCCAGGACACCCCTGTAAGACGTACCTTGTCCACCAATCCTTGTGCCCAGGTCAGACGAGAGCAACAAGGGGGTTTGCGGTCTCCGCACCCAAGGCGGGCATATGCACCGAACTTGCTCCGACTGTGTCAAGAGCAATCTGTGCACTGGCAAGCACTTCACTTCGACCCATCCTTAATGTGCCAGGGTATGCGGCCACCGCACCACAGGCAGGGCCCTCACAGCGCCTGTCGCCTCCTGCACTTGTATGTATATGCTTGCTGCCGCCCAGCTTGTCACGCTCAGGCTGCAAACCTTTGGGATATGCGGTCACCGCTCCCTTGCAGGACCCATTCCAGATCTGCAGGGTATGTAAGAGCTGCATATATTCTGGCCACGCCTGACCTGCAGGACTATCCAGTTATATGGCCAACGACTGAAGCCCTGCACTCCCGGCCCTGCTGGTATAAAGAGAGGCTTCTGCACTCCACACATTGCCCCACCGGTGCACCCTCCTTTCACCTTCTCACTGATTGTGCAGCTATCACAACGGACTGCCGAGCCTTACTGCCTGTCTTGAGCTGGCTCTGGAACTTTGATCAGTTGAGCTCCGCGCTTGCACTCGTAGTGTGGGATCTTCGTTTGCAACTTAGCCACAGATTCTGCTCCCCTCCTTACACGCATCATACCACCATACCCTGGGCTCAGGTAGATATGCTGGCACAGATGTTTCAAGGCTGGAAAGAGCTCACCTGCCTTCGACAGTGGGCACGCGTCTGTTTTCTTGCATGGGCCTCTCAACGGGCCTCAAATCCTGATTGTGAGCGTATGCTTCCAACAGCCAGTGGCATTGCCGAGTCTGAGCCTGAGTCCAGAATCCGACTCACATTGGTCTTGCGGGACTCCTCTCGGCATGAGCACTACATCAACCGCTCATGAGGTGAGTCGAAATGTGAGAGCTCGACATCTGCAGAAGGCTCCCAATCCCGTTGCGAGTACCACCACGACGAGTACGTGGCAAGAGCAAGTTGCCAATGAAGTCGAAGCTGCACTTGACTCAATGCATCCGACTGAACAGGCCCACGTTATGGCACAGCTGCACACTATCCTGAGTGCTCGGCCATCAAATGGGCCACACTGTCCTGCACTCAGTCATTCCCATGCATGTTCATATAAGTGCCCCTGGTCTGAACTGGCAAACAGGCTAGATGGATGCACTCGGGCGACAGCACTGGGTTGGATGCTGCTAGCATCTTCGCGTCTTTGTCCTTTAACCACATCTGACTGCAGTCACTGGCTTCCTGCCAAACTCTGTCCGAACGTGCTTAGACTGCCTGCGTGCTTACAGGTTCCGCTTGCATCACATTTGCTCTCAGAGGCCAAATCCGCACAGCTTATGTCTCAACATTTACAGAAAAGGTGCCAGTGTCTTTTGGCACACTCTGCGGATCCAGCACTGAGTTGCATTGTCCCCCACCCGTGGACGATGCAAATGTCGGCTCTGAATGGGCAGCAGGGAACAAAGACGAAACCCACATCCTGGTGGGGCAGGAGAGAGCACTGCAATGCCACTACCTCACCGACAAAACCCCGCATAAGCCTGCTTGCCACATTGGAGGTGACGTCATGGCCTTCCATCTCCATCCTCCTATATGAGATACGGGCTGTTGAAGCAGGCCGGAGCCAGCGACTGTTCTCGTGCCTGAACACATGCCTGCATGCTAACTTGGATGCTTCTGCCAACCCGCAAGGCAGCAACCCTATGTTCATGACAAGCTTAATCGTGCATTCCGGCTCAACCCCTCAGCACACAAACAGCTCCTGGAGGTTCTTCCACCACGAGGTGCACCGCCCGCCATGGCTAGTGATGGAGCTGATGTCCCCTCCGAGCCTCCCTCGCCCAACTCTGATGACACCGAGGCAATTGATGACATCGCGGGTGTACCCAATCCTCGGCGATGGCGAGATATGGTGCACGCTGCCACCGAAAACCACATGGCATCTGCACCGACGGCGGCCAGCTCCGGAGGCAGCCCTAGGCCAACTGATCGGGGAGCAGGTGACAGCGCAGCCGAGCCCTCCTCCTCCAGCACAAGGCCCAGACGTAGATTGGTCAGGCTCGCGGATGCTGGATCCTACAGAGAGGACGGAGCTGGCGTGGGATCCCATGAAAGGTCACGAAGTCCCGTCTGGAGGACCACCTCCTCCGAAAATGGGCCCACATGGTGTTTCAGACTGGCGAGCTTCCTCAGGATCAGCCAGACCACCCTTGCCGATGCATGCAGGAGCAACTGATGGTACCACTGCCCTGGCCCCGCGAGGTTCGAACGGACCACCTGCACCACGACCTCTACCTACAGGGCCTCTTGGGATCATATCAGCACCGGCTGGCCCACCTGCGCCAGCCAATGCGATGCGAGGACCGGCGGGGCCGCCGCCACCAACTCCGTACAACCCGTCTCATGTTCGGCCTGCAGCAGTGGACGGTGTGGGACCGGCAAGCAAGCCGCCAATGGCAAGACCACCTCCGAGAGCACCAGGCCTCACTGTTCGATTACCTTCTGGACTTCTCGCCCAGGCTCTGCCGTCTACCATTCATTCGCAAGGGTCCTACACGCTCATGTACAACAATGAGTCCATTTGGATATGCCTCCAGCCGAACATCAATGTCGACAATGCTCCTGGAGCCCCGGCTGCTCCACCCTAGCATGGCCTGCGTTTGTGTAAAGCAGAACTCGATCATCAATGGATCAGTTCAGCCTGCCTCTTGCCTAGTATCGGGCTCTCTCACCGCCTGTGCACTGCACCCACGCACCACGGCAAAAGATACTCCAACCGATGCCTGGTTGCGATGCAGTATAGAATATTAAGAAGAGATGGCCAGCTTGTCCCTGTCAGGCCCTCGAGCGCATCATCGACTGCATCATCTACCATCCTTGCATCCAGCTGTGCAACGGGCCACGACCTCGGTCCACTCTGACGACTCTATCTTCCTGCAATGCCGAGAGTCGCGCACCACCTCTCTATGCCCTGAGAGGTTACAGACGACGCAGCATGCTGCAGTGCAGCCCCCAACACATTTTGAATACTGCTGTTCCCGGTCCCAAGCCCGGGAGGCGCGAGTTCATTCATCGAGTGTCGAGCTGTGACATGCTCATACCACATGCCACTTCGCTCGATCTCACCTATCATAACACGATCGCGCAGGAGCCGAGGGTTGGGGGCTCTGCAGACCGCAACCCCTGTAGTTCATTACATGACTACAGCTTCTGTTCTACATATGGGAACAAAGCACAACGGTCAGGCTGCACACCTTGGCTCCAATGACTGGACTGCCGAGGCCGAGGCCACTGGGGATTTCATCCCCTTACTGCATGCACATCGAATTCTTGCACTCTATCCCCTTTACACTCTGTCTGGCATACCGTTGTCACATATCTCATCGCCAGGCTTCGACTTGTCAATCCATGTACCGTGTATCGGTCCTTTCACTTTCGGGTTGCAGACTGGAATGTCCATGTATCCCAGGTTTGCTTCCTCGTCGGGACAAGCGGTCACCGCTCCCAGATGGAATACAATCTTTTCACTCTGCCCGCACCTTATGTGTCGCTCGCGTCCTTCGAGATGCTGGAAGCTGACCATCCATCATGGAGTGCAGACCCCCTGCCTTTCAGGCATGCTCGACCACCTCAACTGGCTATGGTCTGGTCCTGCAGGACCTACGCTAGCATTGAGCATGCCTCTGCTCACCATAAGCGTACATGCATCCTTGGCGCGCAATGTGTTAACCACCTCTCTCCGTTGCAACCCGCTGCAGGCTCAGCATAGCAAGGGTCCGCCCATTAGAGTGGTCCACCACACGCCCTTAGATGCACCTTTACCCGCCCCTATCCTGCACCCGCCGCCGCAATGGGCCGTCGCCCTCGGCCAAGCTCAAGTCCTCCAGACGACCGCCATCCAGATTTCGCAATGCCGCGGCTGGTGAGGAAGGTGCTGTAGGTGCAGCACAGCCCTCCGCCAAGGCGACAACTGCCGCCTGGAACAGACCTCAGGCCAACACCGGCTGGGGGGAGGCCTGGACATGGAACGAGCGAGATGCAGACTGGGGTAGTGGCTGGCGCACTACAGAACAGGCGACAGCAGGATGGTGGACGGGACAATGGAAACAACAATGGGACGGGCAGCAGTGGACTTGCCGTGTGCCGCCCCCACCTCCACCACCGGCAAAGAGACGCAGTGTTACTTCACCTGAACGCGCTGCAGGCCAGCAGGAGCGGCCTGACGGCGAGACTGTGAGTACAGGATCCGGCCAAGATCAGGCCATGCCCTCGATGCCCTCCACCTCCACTGGTCCTGCAACCCCTATGGAAACACTACACACCGTTAAGGAAGAGCTCCCCAGTTCGGAGGAAGAATCCGGCGAGCCAGCGGATGCAAGTAGTGTCCCAAAGGCCGCTGCTCCACCTCCACTCACTGGACCTGTGCAGCACCATGCCAGCCTGGACGAGTTGCCTAACTCCTCGACCTTAGCCACGGAGACAGAGGATGCGCGAGCATCATCCTGCAATACCTGCGCTCAGCCCTCGCAGCTGGTCGCCCTAACACCGCATGCAGCAGGACAAGCACCTTTCGAGTCAATCTGTGCGGACAACTCCACTGCCGATGAGGTACGCTCCTCTACGCAACCAGGGCCACAGGGACTACCGCTACAGCAGCTGCCTCGTCAGGTTAAGGATGAAGCTGGAGCAGGACCAAGGTCGGTGACTACGCAGCAGCAGATGGTCGTGCCTGTGTTGCAAGCTTCCAACACCATCGTTCCATACCACCGCCAGCTCTGACACCTTCACGGACGAGAACACAGTGGAGACTACACCGCCAGACCTTGCCCGTCAAAGCAGCAGTGACATTGAGGGGGCAGACACGAGTCAGTGCCCCGTTGTTGGCACGACATGGACCTCTGATCTCTCGCCTACCTCTCCGGCTGAGCTCGCTGCCACTCATCAGGAAGATGTGACCTCCCAGCCACTATCTCAAGCTGAGCAACTGGCCAAACGGTCTACCAACAAGATCCAAGGCTGGCAGGCTACAGGCACACCTGAGGCACCGTCCTCACCATCCTCTGATGTCACCATTCCGGAGGAGCCTGGAACGGCAGCCTCGTCTTCTGTCGATACCAATCCGGCATCGACCACACGTGTCACCAATAAGATGCAAAGGGTGCACTCTCCGCATTCCCACGTGAAAACCGGCTTGCGCTGCACTTGTCTAAGTGCCCTCCTGCTGCAACCCCAATACTACTCCCTAAACCTGGTTCTGTCCCTGCAGGGTACGAAGCTTACTCATACAGCCCTCACTGCACACTGGCTGGGACAGGACACGAGCTTCAATGAGAACACATTCGAGCCCCTCTCAGCATGTGCAGTCTATTCTTTATGGGGTAAATTAACGCGCAGTCACGCTTGGGCACGTTGGAAGCTCATGACAGGAACTCGGCGTGTCAAAGCCCTGCGAGATTCAGTTGCGGCTGTCACACTGTCGGGGCCTGAGCTCACGCCTGCAGCACCTGGACGCAATAACTACCACCCCAGACAGCATCAGTGTTCGATATCCCAGCCATGCGTCTCCCGCTTCCTCCGTATGCTTACCCTTACCTGCTTTTACCCATACCTGGCGCTCGGCACATCTTCGCAAACCTCCAGTCCTGCTCGAGCGGCCATAACAGAACCGTTACACAGCCCTGCTGCTAAGCGCTCCTACAAACGAGCTGTGAAGCGAGCCAGTCGTTTTGGAGTCACTACTTATCTTGGTCGCACCTTCACTGCAAAACAGTTGAGAGCCCGCTACCAGCCAGATAACGTGGACAGAAGTTCCCCCTCCCCACTGGTTGAGACCTCTGCACATAACCTGCGCATTCTGTACTGGAATGCCGGTGGGCTACACGCATCCAGACATGCAGAGCTCAAACACTGGCTGCATATCCAGGATGAACACACACGACCAGACCTAGTGGTCATCACTGAAACGCACTGGCCCACCACAATGGAATACCCAGCCACTGACTGGCAGGCTGTCCATACTGGTGCGGGCCAATCACAAGGGGGGATCCTTGTGCTCGTACACAACTCAGTATGTCCGGCACACGACATCAGATACAACGAGCTAAAGCCAGGTCGATTGTTACATGTCCGAATCTCGCTGCAGAAGCGACCTGCCATTGATGTCCTGGCTGTGTATCAGCACGCTTGGAACCCCGATGGTGGAGACGGCGACCGGCAAGCACGAATCACCAGGTTGCTAGCAAACCGGTCGGACATCTGGGATCGTATCTCTAAATGGGCTCGCTCGGTTCCTGCTCGAAGTCTTCTTCTCGTCGCAGGCGACATGAACTGTCCTTTGCAGAGGGAGACCACTCATGTCGGAAGAGGAACCCCTCCGCTGCCGACAGGACATCACTACAAAGATCAATTTCGTCTACAGGACCTATTAAGGGATCATGGTTTATGTGCATTAAACACATGGGGAAAAGCAGGGTCTCACTCAGTCACCTTTAAGCCACTTAAGGGCACAGGCACTCAAATTGACTTTTACCTGATGCGATGCCGACAGACGACGCCCCAAGCCCTTTGTGCGAGCACCTTGCTGAATTTTCCGCTCTTGCCCGAAACGGGGGTGTATCATCTCCCAATCACGGCACGACTGCCGTTTCCAGTGGCACCTCGCAAAGCCAGCGAGAAGCAGGGCAACTCACTCAAAGCCACACAGGCACTCCTGAATAAATACCCTGAACTCCTCTCCACCTACCAAGCGCATCTGCCGGATCATGTTTCGCCACATCAAGACCTGACCAAAATTATGGCGGATGCGTGGGCGAATGCACTCGATCAGTGCTGCGTGTCCCTTCATCCCTCAGCAGCCCCTACAAAGATTTCTGACTCGCCTGAGGTAGTCCATCTTTGGCAACACCGACAAGAGCTACGAGCACTACAACGGGCACTCGCCACCAACCACGATACCTATGTTGGCACTCTTGATCTTCAGGTCCATAAACGTACTAGAGCCAGACAAGCGACGTCCATGCTGCTTCGAGCATGGCAGCAGGCTGTACGATGCACTCGGAAGGCCAAGGAGCTTTGCAAAGCCAGCAGAATCAGAAAGAAGCAGCACCTTGATGCGCTCATTATGGAGGCCAGGAATAGCAGTAGTCCCATGACAGCCGTTCACCAAATTCTGAAGCGCTATGCACCAAAAGTCAGGCAAAAAAGACTGCAGCTCCGCGCCAGTCAAGGCCACATCCTCACACCGCAAGAAGAAATGCAGCAGATTGTGGGACATTTCAAGCAGGTCTACAAACAGCCGGACCTCGCACCACCAGGCAGGCCTGTTGATCAGGCCGTTGTCTTTGATCCACACAGTGTGCTCCTGGCGTTCAGCAAGCTGCCTAACAAGGCTCTTCCATCACACTTCCTGCCTGCCCCACTTTGGCGAGCCTCAGCTCACCCGGCGACGCAGGTGTTCCAGCAGACCCTCGTGGCAGCCTACGACCGGGCAGAGCTTCTGCTACCCAAGGCCTGGCACGAAATACAAGTGGCACTCATCCCCAAACCGTCTAAGCCGGCAACTTCTGCTGACTCGCTGAGACCAATTTCACTGCTATCGCCGATGGCCAAAGTTTTGGCAAAGCTAGTAGCGGAGGAGATTCGGCCCATAGTCCTGGATGCTGCAACGCACATCCCGCAATTTGCATACCTAGAAGGACGACAAACCTGTGACGCTATCGACAGGGCTTTTGGCCATTGCAGAGAAATCCGGGAGCGTCGACAAAATGCCACGGTCACCACCCGTGACCGGAGGGCGGGCAAAACTGCCCAAGTAATCTCGGGAGGCATCACGCTCTCACTTGATCTACGTAAAGCCTTCGACAGCATCCCCTGGCAATGTCTGCAGGCATGCCTTGAGCACTTCCAGATACCCGCCCCGATCATTCAACTTATTTTGTATCTACATGAGAACGCCACGTATATTTTCAAAACTCCCAGAGCGCAGGGCTCTGTGCTGGCGGGGCAGGGCATCAGGCAAGGATGCGGCTTAGCGCCGATGCTTTGGACGCTTTATTCCCTTTTTCTTGCATCCAAACTTGACACTGCTGCGCCCTCAGCACTCAAAACTTTCTTTGCAGACGGTTTTCTTGCGCAATGGACGATCGAGACCTGGTCGGACATGAAAAGTGTTCCCACGCAAATTTCAAAAATCATTGAAGTCCTAGAAGATCATGGCATGCAACTAAGTCCGGGCAAAACAGTGGTGCTCTACTCGCTCTGGGGCAAGCAGGTACACGCATGTCTCAAGCCCATGCTGTATCAACATGCCACTCTTGGCAAATGCCTGCGAGTTGGGGCTGCCAACCTCAAGGGAAAGTCTTATCTGTTGCCGGTTGTCATGTCCCACGAGTACCTTGGTGTCAAACTTTCGTACAAAAACTTTGAGTGGCAAACCCTTAAGCATAGGCTACGCCATGCCTGGATTGCCTATAATCGGTTATCTGCTTTACTGAAGTCTAAAGCCCTGCCAGTGCACAAGCGATTGCAACCCTTCGATATGGGCTCTCCTGTACAGGACTGACCATGGCCGGTAGGCAGAAAGTCTATGGCACTGTCCTACGACAATGGCGAGCTTTGGCTAACAACCTTCCTCACATCACTGGGCTGTCCAATGCGAACTTTTTAACAAATTTCCACCTGTCTGACCCTCTGGAAGGCTTGGACGCTGCTTTAATCAAAAGGCTTGATAAGGTGGAATCAGGGCCGCTAGCCCAACTACAACCGGCAGCAGTGAAACGATGGTGGGAGCACCTCCGTAAAATCACCAATGATCCGACTGTCACGCAGGCGGAAAGCAAAGTGCCCCCCAGAAATCAGGATGCCAGGCCCTCAGCTCCGTGTGATGTTTGCGGCCTTACCTTTCCAAACGAGGCCACGTTACGCTGGCACATCTCCAATGTGCATGTCAAGCTGACTAAGGAACAGCAGCATGCAAAAGAGGCAGCCTTTCGCGAAAGAAAAGCCTCGCACATGCAACATGCGCATGATGGTATGCCTACGTGTCGACACTGCAGGCATGAGTACTCGTCCTGGCCGCAATTTGCGGCACATCACAACAGGCAGTGCTGCCCAGTACTGCACTTGGGCTGTACCCCGACCCTGCCTCCATACCCACCAGACCCTGCACCCCTGCTGCAGGATGAAGATTTTCTGAAAACGACTCAGTCAGATGATTGGAAGCAGCTTGCACAGAAAATCCGAGTCATTGGGCGGTTGCACTATTGTCCCTTCTGCAACCTTTGGATGGCCAAAACCGCCATGTTGCATCAGCATATCAAAGCTCAACACGTAGATGAAGCCGCTCACCTGGATCAGTGTCAGCATTTCCTGCTTACGCGAAAGGGTGTCAACTCCCCCTGCCAGCACTGCGGCACTCGGCACAATCGTGCGGCTGTGGGGTGCTCAGTACTGATTCGAGTAGCCTTCGTCCTGCGACATCAAAACCGCTTGGGAATCCTTCATCATGCCTCGGAATCACCCACAGGTGATGATGGACGAGCTGACAAGAGGCGCCGCCGAAATGGATCTGTGGAAGTCCATGATGAACAAACCGGGGGAGGTGGGACACAAGCGGCAGGGAGATCGAGCGGAGGACCTCAGTCGCCAGAAAGGTCGGCAGCGAGGAGATCGGGGGAAAGGAAACCAGAGCTTCGCGAAGCAGGCCAGACAGGCCTCCGGGCCTTCTTCACTGGACCACGAAGAGGACGATCCCCTGAGAGAGGCCGTGAAGCTCATCACGACCCTGTCCCTCCGCCACGAGGATGCACTGGCCATCCACCGTCAGGACACCAGCTACGTGTTCTTCATGAAGACCAGTCCGCCGGAGCTAACAGTACTCAGCGATCTCATGCGAGTCGGCTCAGAATGGAAGGCCAAGAAGGAGCAGTCCCCAGCTCTAGTAACCCAGCCCTTGCGTGTGGTTCTCTTGGGCTGTCTCCTGGAGGCGGTGACTACCAGGATGCAATCCCTGCAGGATCCAACACTACATGCCAAAGCACAAGCGGCCAAGCTGGTCAATCAGGCGGGCGACTTTCACTACATGATGTGGGACGACACGGAGAAGGTATACCAGAACAAGGACGATCGAGAATCAATCCCCACGAAAGCAGTACTCGAGGACATCGCAACCCTGCAGAGGCTGATCCTACAGCCGCGAGTGGTAGGACGCTTTCATGCCCAGAGGAAGCTCGCGCCGGACATGCAGGGGGAAGTGGTACCGTTCGTTCTGGAGATTGGTCTTCGCAATCAGGCCTCACACGAAGTCTACCACCTGCTGGACAAGTACTGCCACCAGGCGATCTGGCACCTGGCAGGCACGTCCCTGAGGCACGACAAACTGGGACGCGGAGCGTCGGCCAATGCGCTGGAGAAGCTTGCAGAGAAGCTGTAAAGTTTTTCTACTACCTGGGAACCCCACCTACCAACCCAAAGGGTTGATGAGCATGTGTGGATTTGTGACTCATGTTTTACCGACAGCGCTTTTACTGGTTCAAGGAAAAAGAGCGACTTGAAGTTTAGCATGGTAGCGGAGCACACTGTGCATCCGGGACCGAAGCCATGCCTCGTGGCCGTGATGATGGTTTGGGTTGGAACCCTGATGCTGTGGAGCCAATGGAGCTCACAGAACCTACAGAGCCCATGGAACTCACAGAACCCATGGAGCCAATGGAACTCACAGAACCCATGGAGCCGATGGAACCCGCAGAGCCCATGGAAGAAGTGGAACAAGAAGAAGAAATGGAGCCACGAAGAAAGGAGATCAAGATTCACCGTGTTGGCATGGGAAAAGGCTACGGATCTTCAGCAAGCAGTTCAGCTGAAGGAAGTGGAAGTGCACCAAGGTATATGCCTCCAAAGCCGAAGAAGAAGCCCGAACGACCAGTGGTGGAAGGAAGAGATTACATTCCCTTGGAAGGGGGAGAACCAGACGGGCCAGTGGAGATCGGGAGTCCTAGTTCCTCTAGCCCCGAAACTACAATGGTGTACCAAGAGGCACCACCTACACCGAGAAGGGAGCCGAGAACACTTTCGTCTGGGCACATCGCCTTGGAGCTGCAAGAGCAGCAAGTGTCTGCTGAGCAACGCAGGCGAAGGCAGCTGGAGAGACTCTCTGCACTCGCAGCAGAGACGGAAAGGATCCAACGGCGAGCAAGGGAACGAGCCTTGCAGGAACCAGTTCGGTTTCCAAAGTCAGGAGGGCCACCGCCACCAGCGGGCCCAGAACCAGAGCAAGCTCCAGAGTGTCCACCGCCAGGAGAAGAACGAGCTCCAGAGTGTCCACCTCCGGACCCAATGCCGAGTGGTACGAAACTTCCTCTTCACACGCTGGACGGGGAACCCAGCAACGCAGCAGTGGCGGAACACATCCGCCGGAATGAGGAAGAGTATGCTGCAAGACGTGCCGGTGCAATTCCTTCAGGAGACGAAGCAAGAGCCAGGGAATCCAAGGAATTTGCTCGTGGAGTTGCATACTTTCGAGCCAGGTACGGCCAGCGAAGCCAAAGCAGTGGAACAGCGAGTTCCAGCCGAGACACGGGGCCTGGGACCCTACAACCCAGGACGGGGCCTGGGACCCTACAACCCAGGATGGAAGATGCGAGAAATGAGCCAGGGAGCAGTTCCAGAGGACCACCTCCGAAGGAACGACCTGCTGGAAGCAAGGCGCCACCTCCAGAGCCAAAGGGACCACCACCGAAGCGAGTGGGAGCAACGCAAGCCACTACGCTCTACCCGAATTCTCCTTGGAGGAGAACAGAAAGGAGAAGAATGCGAGAAAGGGGCGAGGAGCCAAACCCTGGAAATGAGGAAGATGAATGGGGAGATTGGTCAGGACGATGAGGTCGACTACCAGAAGGAGAAAGCAGAGATCGACTACCAGGAGGAGAAAGCAGAGATCGACTACCAGGAGGAGAAAACAGAGATCGACTACCAGGAGGAATCAAAATTCTATGGCCTATGTACAAACAAGAGCCTCTACTCCGACAAGACTATGAATGGAGCAAGAGATCCATTGGTGATGTGGATTTGGACCAGCATTCCAGGAGCAAAGAACCTCTACGACCCCAAGACTATGCAATTCGATTACAATGGAGCAATGGCAATGATGCTTATGCTTGGAGTATCAGGTGCGATCATGTTGTGCATTGGATGTTTGCAAGCGACAGTGCATTTGCAGTCATGTCGTCAGTCATGTTTGTGGAGATTGCAACATTCATGTTTTCGGAGGCGCTTGAGCAGAGGGGCACGGAGAGATCACTTGCGTTCGTGTGCTTGTGTGAGAAAACAACAGAGAGGAGCGATGCTGTGTGTGCTTGTCGTGTTACAGTTTTCTGCAGTGCAAGGGATGCAGCAGAATGGACCACCCCAACAACCCACAGAACTTTCTGAAATTCTGACTGCATTGACAAGGGCGACCCAAGTTGGAATGAGTGCGCTACAAAGGTTGGAGCAACAAGCAAGCAGTTCGGATGATCTGAACCGAAGGATTGAAAGTGCGACAAAGGCGATCAAGGCACCAGATGTTTGGAACCCACAAGCCTCGGGAGAGCATCCACCGGATTTTACAACCTGGAAACATCAGTTTCTGAATTGGCTAGGTTTTGCCGATTCGCAGTACTCAGAAGCTCTAAGTATGATTGAAAGTCTGGGAGCAACGCCGATCGATGTTTCGACTCTCACTACAGTGGAGAGAGAACTTTCGACAAAGCTTTACCACATACTGACTTCGTATATGCGGGGAGCAGCAACGCAACTGTCTCGAAATTGGAGCAGGGAGCGATGTGGGTATCGTCTCTATCAAAGTTTGCTTTGGGAATACCAACCAGCCACCAAACAACGAGCTCTAACCCTCAGTCAAGCGATTGGGATGTTTCCCAACTTCGATGGGGGCAAGAGCATGGTGGAGCAGATTGGTTCACTGGAAAACCTTGTTCGGGAGTACGAGATCGCTTCAGGAAAGACCTACGATCGAGATTTGTTGATGGGAGTTTTGCTTCGATGTTCACCGAGGGCGATTCGAGACCACCTTACTTTGACAATGCCCGAAGGAACAAACTACATGTCAGTGAAGCAAGCGATTCTTTCATACGAGCAAAGCAGCAAAACTTGGGATTACCAGACGGTGTTGAAGCAAAAGACCTTGCAGAACACAGCGAGCAGTTCGAATGCAGATCAAGGACCAGCACCAATGGAAGTGGATGCAGTGTACGAGAAAGGAGGAGGAAAAGGAAACAAAGGCAACAAAGGAAACAAAGGAGGAAAAGGATCCTACTCGTGGTCAAGCTTTGGAGCAGGATTTCGCCAATGGAGAAAAGGTGGACGAAAAGGAAGCTACAAAGGAGGAAAGAAAGGACGAGGCAAAGGTTTCCACAAAGGAGGAAAGAAAGGCGGAAAGAAAGGTGGAAAGCATGGCAAAGGAGGAAAGAAAGGTGGAGGAAAGAAGTTGGACAGAGATGTTTGCCGATTCTGCAAGCAGCGAGGACATTGGGGAAACGAGTGTCCAAACCGCAATGTTCGAGAAGTGCAGGCGAGCGAGGCCAGCACCGAGGTACCCCACTCGACAGTCGAGTCTGTTACTCCGTCGCAGAGTGCGAGCCAATACAGGATAAGGAGAGTGAGGAACATTGATTTCCATCACATTGCGAACACACCACCTGACGGCACAGAGCACTATGAGCTTAGCGAAGTTTCAGAAGAAGAAGGTGATTGGTTCACCAGAAGGATAGAGGTGCAAGGACCAGAGTGCTACTACATCGGGGATGAGAGTGAGAACAAACAAGATCATGAGAGTGATGAGCTGTATCAATGGTATGAAAACAGCTTGGAAAGAGTTCAAGGAGGATTGGGACCTCCAGGAGGATTGGAACCTCTGAATCAAGGAGGATTGGAACCTCTGAGTCAGGGAGGATCGGAACCTCTCAATGTGCGAATGGTCCAGTTGGACACAAAGCAACATGTGGTGATCTTGGATTCAGGAGCAGATGTGAGTTTGTTACCACGAAGATTGTCGGATGCAGGCGTCGAAGTTTCGACCCCAACCTCTCTGAGGTTGCAAGACGCACAAGGGGGTGCGATGCGAGTTGAAGGTATGCGGCGAGCAGTTTTGCAGTTCAGTAGCTGCAGTGTGACTGAGGACTTTGTGTTGTCGGACACCAATAACATCTTGCTGTCTTTAGGAAGGCTACTCAAAAATGGATGGAAGTTTGTGTCAGTGGGATGCAAACAGCGCCAGGGGGGCGAGACCTGGGGAGAAGAAACCCAGGCGGGGGAACTTGTATCTCCCGATGGTAAGGCACGGGTGCCTGTGGAATACCAGAGGAATAGCTTGAGATTGACAGCGGAAGTTAGAGGAGTCGAGCAAGTCAGGGCAGTCAAGGTGACTTTGGCCTATGACTTTGGTAAAGTCCCAGAGAAGGATTGGAGCCTTCTACCGAATGGAACGCCAGTCCATCGCCATTTTGGACTTGAGTTTGTAAAGCCACCGACAGGTACTTGGAAGTACAGGACCACCATCGTGAAGGTGGGCAACGAATGGGAAGTGATTGAAGCAACGGAATTGCTCGAGCGAAAATCCGACTTGGAAGATCGAATACCGGGATTGCTTTTTCGATCAGAAATTCTCACATTCTTGCACAGGACACCAGAGTATCTGGACAAGTGCTTGGTAGAAGAGGTAGCACCAGAAGAAGCACCAAAGGAGGAAGAAAAGAAGATGGAAGAGGAGCCAGAATGGTTTGGAAGAGAAAGAGGAGCTCCAGAAGAGTTGCAGGTGCCAGTGCCGAAAGGAGTTGTGAAGCAGCAAGGAAAGGCAGGAGGACACCAAGAGTTGGAACTCGACATGGGAAGTACTATTGTGGTGAATGGAGAGTCACTCACAGCAACGAGTGAGATTGAGAAGCTGCGAGAAGGTTGTCGGTATTTGGGTTTGAGCGTCTCAGGGTCAAAGGTGAAGATGTTCAGGAGACTGTGCAACTACCTCACCGAAGACAGAGATGAGGACGCAGAAGAAGTTGCAGACAGGCTGAGGAAGCAAAGGCCCAAAGCAAGAACAAGACCCGGAGTGCCCGAACCGACAGAAGCAGAGATTGAAGAGCATATGGCAACCCACATGCCAATGCAACCATGGTGTGATTTCTGTGCAGCAGCAAAGTCGAAACAGGACCATACCCCACAAAGCAGTGAAGCAAAGTATGAAGACCCAGGAAAACCAGTGATCCAGATGGACTTCATGTACATGGGTCAGAGCAGTGTGAGTCTGATCATTCTTGATTCATGGACTCGATTTTCGTGGGCGATTCCAGTGCCGGGGAAAGCACCGACGAAGAAGTTGGCCGAGAAAGTGGTGAAGTTTTCTCTCGAGATGAACTACATTTCCGAAGAAGTTCTGTTTGCGATTGATGTGGAGCCAGCGACAACAGCCTTACTGGATTTGATTGTAGCAATACGACAAAAGTTAGGCTACAAGGCTGGAAAGTATCCAAACAAGCCCTACCACAAAGGAAGAACAGCGAGAGTGGAACGCCACATTCAGAACCTCAGGAGACAAAGCCTCACGATGATTGAAATGGTCGAGGATCGGATTGGGGAAAAGATTCCTGAAGATCATGCTTTACGAGCGTGGGCAATTCACCACGCAGCATGGTTGTTCAACAGGTACCACCTACACTCAGGGACGCAGAGTACAGCTTTCCAATTGGTCTACGGGAGACCATACCAAGGGCAGATTTTACCCTTCGGAGAGTATGTGTTTGGTCTGGCCAAGCCTGGAGGAGTGAAGAATCGATCCTTGTGGACAGGAGGAATATGGGTTGGAAAGGACGACCGGGACATGGACGTGATTACATCAAAAGATGGGATCTTTACGTCAAGATCTGTGCGGCGCACACAACCAGCGTGGCGCGCACGTGAGACCCTTCAACTTCAGGGTTCTCCTTGGACGAAGAAAGCCCCAAGGCTAGGGCACACCGCGCATGCGGCACCGTTACCGAGAATCGTGGAAGAACCAGGCAAAGAGAAAGAAGGAGGAGAAAATGAGCCAGAGCCAGCAGGAGATGAAGCAGGATCTGATGTGGAAAGTTCAAAGCATGACACAATCAGTGATCTATTGCTGAGCAGTGGTCAACCTACACCTCGAAGTTCATCAACGGATTCCAACCAAGGCGGGGGACAAAAGAGAGAAACTGAAGGAGAAGAAAGAGAGGAACCTGCGAAAGCTAGTAAAACAGCAGATGCTGAGGAGCCACCAACGAAGCAACAAAAGACTGCGGAAAGTTCACCTACAAGTGCTGATCCTGGAAGTCCGAAAGGAAGTCTATTTCCACCGTTGTACGCCGGACAGGTAGAAGAACAGGAAGACGAAACAGGATATCATGAAGATGACCTTTGGGAAGAAAGAGTCTGGAAGGAATGCGAAGAGGAATATGAAGCGGATAGTGAAGGAGAAGAAGAAGATGAGGATCGACCACCGAAAGTCAGCGAAGAGGAACTTGAAAGATTGGATGCAGAGGCAGGAAAAGCTGAACTTGACAAACTCGCCAACATGAAGGTTGTGAAGACGATCAAGAAGGAAGAGTGTTCAGAGGAAGGTAAGTTTCTGACACTAAGGACAGTTTTCGATTGGAGAAAGAGAGATGGAGTTTGGAAGCGTAGATGCAGAATTGTGTGTCGGGAATTCCGTGCGGGAGCCCAGAGCACGGAGGAGACTTTTAGTCCTACGTCAGGACACGCAGCAGTGCGAATGATGTTTCTTTTTCATCTCATCTACAATTGGGAGCTTACAGTTCTTGACATTCGTGACGCATTCTTGCAAGTCACGCAGAAAGCTCTGATGTATGCTGATATCTCACCGTGGATTCGAACACTACTTGGTTTGGATGAAGACCATGTATGGAAAGTGGAGAAGTGTCTGCCAGGGCAAAGATCAGCGGCAGAACAATGGTTTACCCATTTGGTTGAGATTTTGAAGCGTTTGGGATTTGAGCAATTTGTTGGGATACCCTCAATCTTGAAGCACCGAGTGAAGAAGATTGCAGTGTCGATTCATGTCGACGACGAGCTAGTTGCAGGTGCGAAAGGCGAAGGAAGATGGCTGATATGCGAGCTAGAGAAGTTTTTCAAGCTCACAGTTGAGGGACCGTTCCCATCCCACCGGGGATCGGGAGAACAGCTTCATTACCTGAAGAGGACCTATGAGTTCCTTGAAGAAGGAATTTTGGTGACAGTGTCGAAGAAGCACTACGAGAAGCTTAGAGGACTCTACAAGCTGGGGAACCGAAAGCCAAGACAAACCCCAGAGCACCAGCTGATTGGAACAGTGGACAATTCCAAAGAACTGGAGGAGAACGAGTGCAAGAAGTTTCGTTCAGCGTTGGGAACACTGTTGTACATTTCCCAAGACCGATGGGATTTACAGCATGTGACGAAGTGTTTGGCAAGTAAGATGTCGAAGCCAACGGAACAAGCGTTAACCTGTTTGAAACAAGCTTTGCTCTATGTGCAAGGAACAGAGCAACTGGGATTCCTACTGAAGTACACAAAGGTTGGAAACAAGATGATGGATGCGATCTATCAAAGAGAAGAGCAAGAAGAAGAAGACGAAGAAAAGAAAGGAACACACAGTATGGAAGTATTCACGGATGCAGATTGGGCATCAGACCGTGAAGCGAGATGGTCTACATCATCAGTGATTGTGTGTGTGAATGCAGTGCCAGTACTTTCGTATAGCAGGACCCAGAAAGCTACAGCTTTAAGTTCGGCAGAGTCCGAAGTGCTAGCATGCTCAGGAGGAGCATCAGAAGCGATGTTACTGAAGAAGTTGTGGATGTTTCTTGCAGGAAAGTTACTCGTGGAGATCCGGATGGATTCAAGTGCGGGAAGACAATGGATGATGCGAACAGGAGTCGGAGGACTCAAACATATCGATCTGAGAGTATTATGGCTTCAGCGAGGGGTGAAGAACAACAGCTTCAAAGCAAAGCCAGTGCCTACCAAATTAAACATTGCCGACTTGAATACAAAGCGCTTAGGAGTATCTCGAAGGAGATTTCTCATGTACCATATTGGAGCCATGGTGTGGAATGGAGAAAGTCATGAGCGTTATGGGAAAGAAGAAGCAATGGAACATGTGGCAGGTGAAGTTTGCCGAAGCCAAGTTCGAGCACTACGTGCAACTTTGTTGAATGAGCGAGGAAGCAAGACGGCTAGAGCGATGTACTTGACAATGATGGTGAATATGATTTCTCAGATTGCAGGACAACCAGACGATTTTGGAGGACGAGAACGAGAAGAACGAGAATTTGTTTTCATCTATGTGAAGGAAGTGAGTGGATGGATTATTCTTTTCAGTGTGCTACTAGGAGGAATTTTCGCTTTACTCTTGTTCTACATGGTCGAGCAGAAGGTGAACGAAGGACGACCACAGGAACCACAGGAAGAAGGACCACAGGAACCACAGGAAGAAGGACCACAGGAACCGCAGGAAGAAGGACCACAGGAACCACAGGAAGAAGGACCACAGGAACCGCAGGAAGAAGGACCACAGGAACCGCAGGAGGAATTCACTATTCGAAGATTTGTGCAAAAGTATTGTCCGCCCGATGAGGATGATGTTCAACGTACAGCAAGGGCAGTCAATATGTATTTCCGTGATGCACCAGAGGATTCAGCGACAGGCAGTGGTAATGGGATGCCTGGAATCAGTACAGTACCAGCAAGCCAAATCCATGTGAATGACGAAGAGCTTGCAAGGCGATTTCAAGAATGGGGAATGGTTAATATCATTCCTATGGCACAGGATGTGGACGAACAGCTACGAGCACAACCCCAGTATGTGTACACGCCTCATGGCAAGAGGTACCACCGACCTACATGTGCAGATGTGCAAAGGTCAGAGAGATTCACTTACAGTGCAGCAGTGCATGCGAGGTTGCACTACCGTCCTTGTGGCAATTGCAGGCCCGGGACCATGTGAGTGAATGATGGAATGTTTCACTTTTCCGTACAGTGTGAGCTACAACGAGTACAAGCTTACCTGAGCGAAGTGTTACCCACGAGGAAGCAGTGGGAACAGTTTTCACCGAGTGCAAGGACTCCAATAGGGAGAGCGCAACGAGGCCATCGCACAATACCAGATGAGCCCAACGACATACCTGTACAGTTTCTACAAACCCGTTACTGTAGAGTGATGTTGAGCTTACAGTTCGCACAACATCAAGGCGGGGTGTAAAGTTTTTCTACTACCTGGGAACCCCACCTACCAACCCAAAGGGTTGATGAGCATGTGTGGATTTGTGACTCATGTTTTACCGACAGCGCTTTTACTGGTTCAAGGAAAAAGAGCGACTTGAAGTTTAGCAGAAGCTCTAAGGCGACTCAGACTTCAAAACTCCAGCAGCCATTGCTACGCTAACAGTCTAGTCCTCACACTTCTGCATGCACAAAGTTTCAGGCGTATGACGTTCTTTCGCGATGATCTTCAGAAGCTGATGTCCTGGCTCGTCACTCAGAAAACAGCTAAGCTGTGGCTACTCATGCCTTGGACCCAGGCGCTAAGAACTTGGGCACAACCAAATATGCAACATGATGTGGCGGAATTTGCCAAGCACTTGTTGGCAAATGAGCTACTTACGGCCCCCATGAGTGGAGAATGGCAAACAAGATTGCAAGTAGACGGTGCTGTTCAGGTCACGGACCGTGGTGCCACCTGGCCTATCCTGCTGCCTGAGCCCTTGCTGACCCACCAGGAATGTCCGTTGCAAAGCTTGATCGATGCATGGGAGTCCCAGGCTGCTCCACATGCGCTTGCCACTGATCCCAGTGAGCTCTTGCTGCAACTCAACAGGTTTCGAGAGGTTGGTGGTGTCTATGCCAAATCCACTACCCCAGTTGTGCCAACTGACACCCTCTCTATTCCTGCGTTTCATGATGACGGTTTGCAGCGAGGCACCCTACGATATCAATTAAGAGCAGCAATCATCCACATCGGTGACACCCCTCAATCTGGTCATTACAGGGCTGTCACCTTTCATGAGGGAGCCACTGCCTACTTGCACGACGATAACAAAATTGCCCAGAAGCTCACTGCCAAACTTCTAAAAACCTTTCATACCCAAGTCTATCTCTGCCTCTACTCCAAGATCGACCATCCTGACTCAAGGGCTAACCTCAGTGTAAATTCACCACCTGGCTTACCACCACCAACTTCTTCAGTAGGGTAAGCGGTTACCGCCCCCCTTACTGCTGTGTGGGTACGCGGACTCCCCCTAGGTTATGTTTCACAATCAACGCCAGGTCCGTGGTCTCCACCCCTGTGCTTGTACAGTCAGGGTAGAGCGCACTCTCTTTTTGACTTTTCACCACTCGTGTCACACATAGATGTTGAGTGGCCTCGGTGACTGCACTGCTTACGGGACCTTCGGGTCGGGTGCAGTGGCAGTTGCCTATCTTGCTCTCTAGAAGAGCCGTGTACATTCTTGTACATGTTGTAGCCCGCATAGCGAAGTTCACCCCTCGCTGCGTTGGAAAGAAAGAATCATGACCTCCCATGTTTGCCCTTGCCCAGCTGGCTCCTGGCTCAGCTGGCCCTGTGAGTTGGGGCCTTGCATAGATCGTGAGCTTTTTTCGCCCGCCCACCCTTGCCCTGCGCATCACGATGCCAAACTCTCTGCACTTTCTGCAATCGCCGCCACTGCAATCGCCGCCACGCCTATTGCCTCCCAAAGTGGAGCAGCCTAGGCCTACACACACTGCCGCACAATTGCCTCCCAAAGAGGAGTAGCCTAAGCCAAGCCGCCTTAGCACCCTCCAAAGAGGGGGTATGCCGCCCATCAGGCCCGGAGGCCTCTCGCCTGAGGGGCCGCCGGCCTGATGCCAACTCGCCCAGAGCAGCGCCCGTGAAAAGGACAGTGCGCGTATAGGGTTGGGCGTTGTTTCCCCTAGTCCCCCTCCCGCAGGGTCTTGGGATCTAGAGGGGTGTCGCACTACCCTTTCTTCCCCAACTAGGGTTAGGTCTTGCAGTGTGCGTTGTCTGAACTTAAGATTAGCGTGCGTAGGGCGACGTCCGTTTCATTTCGTGCAGCTTCTCCTTCAATTTCCTCAGCGCCAGTGCCGCGTTGCCAAGTGAATTTGGTGAACCTGCCCCTGAGAACGACTCCAAGCATTCCTGCCGTTTCCTGGAGTACCTTCGGTTTCCAGGGCGTATCATCAGGGTCAAGATGCTACTGGTGCTCAGGGGTTTGCTCGAAAGAATGGAGGTTCTGCGCTTCCAGAGGCATGGGGCGGTGGCAAGACAGGCAAGCATGCGCAAGGCTGCTGCTCTTTGGTTTGACACAATCGGAAGAAAATGCTGGAGCATGAGGCCCTGTCGCGCGTTTGCGTGGGCCTTCCAAAACCATTCAGAGCTACTCTTTCGATAAGCCTTCTTTCTTCCATCGCCCGTTTCAGCAGACTTTCAGCAGTTTTTCAGCGGCATTTTTCGCAATAAAAACACATGTTTCCGGAGCTGAGGTTGGGTTTTTGAGTTGCATGTCGTTTCTTGGTTATTTGTTAAGTGGGCACTCCGCACCGAAGCATATTGGTGCCATCCGACCAGCATGCACTCAGCCTTTGAATGCACGGTGTCGGGTTTTCATACCTTAAGATACGATTGCAAGGCTTTGGTCCTTTTGGTGGCTACGTGATCAGTATGTAGGTGTTTTGTTAAGTCCCGCATGAAGCCGTCATGCGGCGTGGAAGCCAAGTGAGAGCCCCAGACATTTGACTTGTTCAGATTGCATGCACGTGTTTCAACTGGGCCATTAACATGTCTACACTGCCACAATATGGCAAAATGATGACGCGAGTTTCATCTTCAGGCGATCCCGGAAAATCAGCCTGTTGCCCTGAAGTCCCCTAGAGCTTCATGTTGAAGATCAGAGGATTTTTCGTCGCCTCGTTTGCCAGAGCCGGGCGTCGACGCTGCTGACTACCGACCTGAGGTCTGCATCCATGTTGGGTCTTGGTTGTTTCGGAATTGTTGGGAATTTGGGTTGCTTCGCAGGCAAAATGAACCCGAAATGTGCAAGATAGAGTGTGGAGCCCGTGTCGTCTGCGAAGCCTGAAATTGGTTTCGGACCCTTCGTTGCTCACACGCTGAATTCATCCATGAGCCACGCTGAGTAAAAAACCGGAATTCTTAACACCCAAGTCTCCAAGCCCTAAACGTTCATGCTTGCAGAGGTTGATGTGGAGCGCTTGGCGCAGCATTTTGCGCAACGCTACGGGAGTTTGGCCGAGGTCTGCCTGGTGTTGCGCGATTTTGTTGTGCAAAGTTCGGGTGAGGTGAGGCTGTTGCTTGGCACTTTGGCTTTGCAAAGATGCCTCTCATTGTGCCCTAGAATGGCCAGCCCGAACTGCTCCCGTGAGCTTTGATCCTAAGCCCTAAGCCACAGAAACCAAGAGCCGTCGTTGCAAGGCACGAAAAGCCCTGGATCCGGAGGCACGGTTTCTTGGGGATTTGTAGTTTTCGGTTTTCTGGTCTTGTCATTTTTTTGTGCACGAGCTTGTGACACCCTTGGGCTGCCAAATCCCAAATCCCGAGACCTTGCATAAGTTTGCAGCAGGTGGAGCTGAAGCTGGTGGAGTTCGAGCTCGCTTTGAAGAAATGGGGAGTGAAGGTGCCCCATTTCATTTTACACATTCGCGTAGACGAGAAATGCAGCCGGACAGGGCGGGATGGGTTGGGAGGACGAAGCCCCCCAGCACTAAGTTCTCCCAAAATGGTTCCTATGGGTTTGAGTTTGAGGAAGCCTCCTCCCTCATAGCCAAAGACGCACGAAAAGTGCAGTGCATCAAAACCCCTGATGCAGTCTCAAGCCCGACCGCGCCAAGTGCCTTGCCAAGTGCAACGCCCGAATGCAGCTTCGAGATCGGAGGTTGACAACGTCGTGCATTTCTTTGCTCACATCGATGAGGACTACAGTGGCAGCATCTCCGTCGAGGATCGTGGCGGCACTTACCAGTTGCTTGTTCGGTGCAATACCTTGAGATTGATTGTGCCTTGGGATATAGATTGATTGCCTTTCCAACTTTGCTTACTTCCGCTGAACAGCGGTTTCTGACGGGTGGCACTTCTCATCTCGTTTGCCCGGGCCTCCCGGACCCTTCTCGCAGGAAGCTCTTCCTCCGCCAAACATGCATTGCCGCACTTTGCAATCGTGAGGGTCGTTCCTGTCCCATGGTTTTAAGACAGTTCCTGCATCACCATTGGCCATGCTACACCCCACCCTCCACACGCACAGACACCCGTGTTGGCCAAATGGGAGCGAAAACAAGACCTCGAGGGTTGCGCGCACAGCAACAAATGACGCACGTACTCGCAATTTTGACACGTTTTCCCGCTGCACGTGCTGTATCAGCCACGCGCAACCGTGTCCCCTCACCCCTCATATGTCAAGCCCATTTCAGCGCAGGAACGCGTCAATCTGAAAGCCTTCAACGACAATTGCCACCACCCTTGCTTTGATTGCTTTGAGCATTTGTGTGCCTTCGTGCCTCGGAACAGGAGCTTCTAAATGTGCTGGACTCGCCATTGGATGAGATTCAGTGCCTTGACTTCTTTGAAGGGAAGTCTCGGAAGAGCTTCTGGGGTATGGAGGGTCTAGAGCCTCAAAGGCCTCAAAGGCCTCAAAGGCCTCAAAGGCCTCAAAGGCCTCAAAGGCCTCAAAGGCCTCAAAGACCTCAACACCCAAAGTGCTGGATCCCTCAAGCCCTCGAGCTCACGTGGCAACTGGCTCTGTGGCGTTAGGATTCCAGAAAGGGAGGTACCAATCTGCATTTCTTTGGACATGTGCAACTGGAGTTGGCCCGCAAGGCGCCGTGAGAAGCTGCGCCAGCGGAACGAGGTCAAACGAATTTTTGAGGACCAAAGCTCGAACCGCAGCCCCCCAGCAAACCCAAGAGCATGCTGAAGTTGGTTTCCACTCAACGCGGTGTAAGCCTTCTACAACCGTCCATGTTTATGGACAGTGCAATCTTCCTGTTACTGTGCAAGTGACATTTTTTGTTCAAGGGTTCTGTTCGGATTCGGGCTGCATGGGCGTCAAAGAAGAAATGCCCGCGGAGAAAATATAGAAGCCTGTCAAAGGTGGAAGGCCTCCATCTCGTCCGAGAAATTTTCACGTCTGACTATCCAAAGCGCACAGCCAACAACCAGAATTCATCGCCAGGAGATGGCACGCAGCATCTGTGACAAGTTTGGTAGCATCGAGGCAACGGTTGTGCTTGCTTTGTTGATCACGGCTTCTCTACCCTAGAGGCCCACAATGTTGGGCCAAGACTGAGACCCAAGTATCGACATCGCCAAGAATTTTAAGTTCTCCCTCAGCAGTCTTACCTGCATCCAGGTATAAATGGTTTAGGGGTGTTTAGGGAAAGAGCTGCTCGGTGGATATTTACATCTAGAGCGCAACAGCCGAGAGCAACTCCGACCAAGCAAAGCCACATCATGCACCAACACGTTTAGAGTCCCTCTCTGCTCTGCTGCTTTCTTCTGATTCCCTTGAGCCCAAAAGCCAAACAGCTGCTGTCCACAGCGCCACTGATGTTCTGGTAGGGCAGGAGAGCAGGAGGAGGATTCAGGCTTGGGAGGATTCAAGGTTTTCGGTTGCAGAGAGGGAGGCCAGCTTTTCCAGCTTTTCGGGTTGCAGGGAGGCCAGGGCGGGCAGGTAGTGTGCGACAGGGAATCAGGTTTAGGGGCGGGGCCGGCGGGGTAGGGCAGGGCAAAGGAAGGGTCTGGGCTGGTGTTTTGGGTAGGGGGGTAAGCTAGGGTTCTAACCCCTGCAACTCGTCTCCAGGAAAACAGTCCAATGAGCAAAAGAGCTGTGGGGTCGTGGATGAAGCATTCAAAGGTTTGGCCACAAGGTGCAGCCCGTGCCAGTGGAAACATGTCGCACCCCGTGGTGCGGTTTGGTCCGGGTTTGTTGTTGTGTGATCATCTTGAAGCCACCCCCGAGTTGTCTTCAGGAAGCCTTCAACAAGCATGGGAGTTGGTTGCACTCGACCAGCTCTTCCCTGTCATTGGCACAGCTCGGGCCTCAGCTCGGAATTGCTCGAAACCAAAGCCTGCAGGGGCACAACATCTTGGGGTAGGGTGACGCGATTTGGAGTTGCACGTCCAGGCTGGTAAAAAACATTCGCTGAGCAAGCTCCAAAATTGCCAGAGAAAGAGGTGACAAGTTCAAAGAATTTAGAGTCGTGAGCGGTTTCATGGGAAGTCCACGACCATCCCAGGTTCGGCAGGCTGGCAAAACAGCTAGACATTGAGCTCGAGGCAGCTGTGATGCAGCGGGTCTTCAATGAAATCGACGAGGACGAGAGCCGTGGGAGTCCGTGGGAGCTCGCGGGAGCCCGTGGGAGCCCGTGGGAGCCCGTGGGAGTGCTGGGAGTGCGTGGGAGTCCTGGGTTTTAGGGCAAGAGCTTGAGGCTTTGGATCTTGCCTCAAGCAGGTTTGCAGGGTTGCAGGGAACAGCCAAAATTTCAGAATCACCCAAAGGGAAGGAAAGGCATGCAGCTTTGTGGCAGCCTTGCTCATTCAAGCAAGTCCGTGACATGTGCGACATGCATTGTGCTGATCTCCCAGGCATCTTAACATGAGACTGTATGAGATTGCTCGAATGCGAACAGCTCCTGATGATGTGTTGAAAGCCTGAAGCTCTTCTGAACCTCCGAGCGCGTGACCTCGAAGGACAAGGAAGGTTCCATCTCCGTTGAGGAGCTGCAGCAGGTGCCCAAGAGTCCTGAGCCGAAGTTTCAGTGAACTTCTTGTTTAGGGTTTAGAATTTAGGGCCTGCAGAGCTATGCAAGTGCTGGCTGGGAGATTCAGAGCTCCTGCATATGGGATGCTGAACAATCGTGGGACTACTGTAGCCTACACACCTTGACCCCCTCAACTAAACCTTAAACACCCGTCGGCCCTGCACTGCTTTGAGCTTTGTGAAAAGCCATCCTGCAAGAAGGCACAGCGCAACACCAGAAGGATTTCAAATGACTTTCAAACCTGCAGAAGACCATGAAGACCCTGCTTTTGCAAAGCCCTAAATCCCAAAGCCTTCACACCTTAACGCTATTCTTCGGGGCAGGCCCTTTCCTATCCGATTGTGCGCTACGTGGTGGTGCCTTGGCTGTGGCACGTTCATGCGAGGGCAACCCTCAAGCATCCCAAAGCCAAAGAAGTCCAAAGAAGCCCAACATCCAAGGTGGAGATTGCCAGCCTCCTGCACCAGAAGTACGGGGGTGTTGTCGAGGCACCCTGAGCCCTAAACTCCTTCGGGGATCTATGGGGCTTCCGAAGCAGGGGTGATTTTGGCAGGTTCGAGTGCTTTTTGAAGCTCAGATCTCCGACCTCACTACACCCGAACGAATCGGAGCCAGGAAGCAGTCCCCCAATACCGATCACACAACACCCTTAATGAAAACCCTAGCCCGAAAACTTTCGAGGCCCGAGGTTTGACTGGAGTCCGTCCTGTGGGAGGCTTTCGAGAGTATCGGGGAGATCCGTCCCGGATCCGTCTCCAAGGCGCGGTCTTTGCGTCCTCTTCCCGGAAGCTTGAACAAATCAGAATTCGCAACCCGCCCCCGCCTATCCGGCCTATCCTTTACACGAAACACCCTGATACCCTACATCTCGACCGGTCCACCGCTCGCAAATGTTCAGAATTGTTCTTTGGTTTGGGGCCTGACAAGAAACAAAACCGTCCAGGTGCCGCCTCCCCCGATGCAGGGCGAGCGGCTGCCTGTGCGCCTGGCTCCCCACGAGGTGCATTTTACAAGGTTTCTTAGGTTTGCAGCCCGCTTTGAGGGCATTAGCCTTGTCTTCGGGTGATTTTCTTGGGGGTTGAGGTTTGGGCAGATTTTGGGTTTCGTGCCGGGCTTTTTGAAGCATGCAGCGGCTGGCGGGACTCGCGGGCTGGTCACGCTCCGTGCTTTTAAAGAGCTGTTTGGGGGGCTACGGCCACTGTCAAATAGCAGAATTTCCCTTCAGCATTGGGTGGAATGTTGCGCCTTCGCAGGCGACCCCTCTTGCCCCAGTTTTTGTACAGCACGTCAAACGAAATTTTGTCGCTTCCAGAAGCCCACAACATAGCTTCACTAGAAGCACAAGCCCATGTCGTTGCGCCTCGTTCAACTTCTCATCTTCCTTAAGCCCTTGACTTTCTCCTTAGCCCAAAGCCTTGAATACCGAGCACACTTGAAAGTGCAGGGGGTTTGGGGCTTAGGGGGTAGTGGAGCTGTGGCAGGGTAGCTTGTACGTGGTTTGGGACATGTTTTGTGCAAACCCTGAACTGCAACTGGCCCATAACCTTGAAGCCTAGAGGCCTACATGAAATCTAGCGCCTATATATTTACACTCACGTCACAAAGTCCACAGAATCTCCAAGTTGACCTAGATCCTGTGCGGCCCTTAGAAATTATGAACATCTCGGGGCTCGCCTCCCAGCATCTCACACCCCAGGGATTCTCGAGCCTGCCGTCAGGGCGTGTCGCAGGAGCATTTTCTGAAGGTGCTCAGGCAGTTGAAGGCCTGGTTTAGCTTCTTGCTAGTATCAGACTTTGGCTGTTGGGTTTAGGAAGTTTGGAGTTCGAGAGAAAAGGAACGTTTGAGACTTTCTTGGGACTTGTGTTCTGTTGCGCTGTTCGTTATTTCAGGCGCTGGAAGCTGTTCAGCTTTTCGGGTTTTGAGGGTCTTCGTTTTAGAGCGCTGGTTCCCGAGTCCCAAACCCTGAATCCCGTATCCTTAAACCCTGAACCGACTTCCCAGCGCCTGACAGGTCCTGGACAACATCACGGACAGTGCTGCCACGATCCTCTGCACCACAGTTCTGGTCTGATGAGACGATAACTGGGTACCACTTCGAGGTTATGTGTAGCCGATGTACTCTTTTCATTGATGTCGAGGGCCAATCAATACATCAGTATGACTTTAAAACGGTATGACTCCTTTCCAAATCAATCGTGCGAGCGCTGTATTTGCACATTGGCGGGAATGGGCTGCACCCCCCAACCCCTTTGCGTTTTAGCTTGCCTCAAAGAATATCACGGAAACCACCCATCATGGAGCCTTGCGTTTCCAGTGTGGGGGGCCTGCGCCGTCCCCGTCCTCCTCTCTGTTTAGGCCGTGCAAGTTTGCCGTAAAGGGATTCACGCCATCAACAGACAATCCCAAGGAAGCAGAGGGTTTCTTACGATATGAGAGACAGAAGTTCTCCTGTTACGATGGAGAGAAGTTTGGCAAGTACATAGATATAGAGCTCACGAAACAAAATGAAGGGGAACCAGAAGTCTTATTCGGAACATATCAGAGAATGCTTCCCGTTAAGAACTTAAAGAAATTTGCAGCAAATGAGAAGAAATCCAGGTTCCCGATTGATATGTTTGAGGAAATATTCCCAAGTCCAAAATTGGTGAGAATAGAGGTTCTCCTGTTGACGTCTAGAAGAAGCAGATGTTTCCTGCTAGCATGTTCAGTCAATGTAGACCTTTGGGCGGATAAAGGTTCAAGACAGCCGAGGAAAATTTTAGAGAAAGAAAAGTCTCGATTGAGAACTCGAAGATGTGCGAAACATTGCAGAGCAAACGAAATGAGAAAGTTGAAGGTTGCCCACCAACATATGGAAGAAGCAGAGTTTTTGCACGAAAGTTTGGAAGAAACATAGACGTTTTCCACTAACAAACTTCAACAACCGAGGCTTCCCTCCCAGAGTTTCGTGAATATTATCTTATGGAGATATGAAGAGTGATGATCCTCCATGAAAAGGTTTTCCGTTCTCCTATGGAAAAAGCGGAAGAAGTCGAGGCCTCCATCGAGTAAGCAAAGAGTTTGCATTAAACTATAGAGGAAACAGTTTCCCTTTTAGTTCTGCACAAACATGGAGAGGTTTCCCTAGTTGCTCTCTTAATGTCTCTTTCACCGGGTGAGAGTAAGGAACGGGCCTGTTCGTTTCTTTCACGTATTGCACCGGCAAGGTTTGGAGGTTTGGATGTGTCAGGAATTGCCGCTCAAGAGGTTTGGCGCTTTAGCAAAAGTTGGATATTGGGGGCTTTTTTTTGTTGTCAGATGTGTTCCGCAGGGCCCCCCCAATCTTAAGGCCCTAAAGCCGAAGCAGCTTGAAGTCTCAAGAGTCTCAAGTCTTCAGTAAGGATGATTTGGACCAGCCTGCAGCCCTTCACCATGCAGGCCCTGGCACTGAGGGAGAGCCCCGAAACGTCTCGCAACCCCCCCCCCCCCACGTTCTACCACAACAAGCCAACGCCAAAGCCAACCTGCTGCGTTGCCACTCCCACCCAAGCTCGCCTCCGAAGCAACCTTCGCAATCCTCAGCATCCCAAGCCGAAGGAGGTTTACAAGGGGATCTTTCCCCACTCTGCAAAGCCCTGTGAACGTGCCCCTTTGCAATGAGCGCTTTGTTTCGTCGGCTTGTAGAGTTTGTTAAGGTTTGGTCGGGTTTTCAGAGCTTGAGGTGTCGGAGCTTAGCAATGCGGAGGTTTGTTTAGGGGGCTGGGTAGTCAGGTGTAGGGCGGTGTAGGGGTTCGGGGCCACAGCCAGGACTTTGTGCAGAGGCTCCTGGAAGAACACCGCCAAGCTGAAGAGGCGCTTGGTTGAGGGCCAAACCCCAGTTGGGAAGGACGACACCTTGCATCGGGCATCTTCTGGGGCCCTTTGGGTTTCGTCCGGTTTGTTCTTCTTCTCCTGTCCTAGGCTGGAAGTCTCGGATGCTGTGTGTCTTGCATCGGACGAGCAGAGCCCACTGAGTGCTTTTCTATCTCTTCGCAGGCTAAATCGGTGGAGCCCTCACCAAGGCCTCCATATTCCGGATCTCCTGGACTCTAGAAACCCATAGAAACCCGTAAACCATAAACCCCATTAACCCCCAAACCAAGTTCACCAAGCTCACAGGCCCCCAACGGCCTCCATGATCCCCGTGCAATGCCAGGAGAAGCAGCGTCATGAAGAGGACCGAGAAAGGTCCCACGAGCTGGAGTTTGGGGTGCAGGTGTAGGGTGTACGGACAGCTACTCCTTGTGCTGGGGCGAGCTTCTGAGCTGAAGCTTTCTGCGGGTCTGCTGGGGTTTTCGAGGGCTTTCCTGAGGTAGAGATCCGCTCCTAAAGAAACTTTGGACGCCCCCGAAGCTGTGGTAATGGAAGTCTTGCTCAGTATTCATTCATCCGCTGTGCTCGATAACTTGTAGCTACAACGAACAAGGGAAAGAAGCTACTGTGAGAAGCTCGTGGTCGTTCTTTTCGCTCTTTATTTGATGCGGCTTCCCCACGTTGTTCGCGCGAGGCAATCATTGAGTCTCTGTGCCCACTACTTCAACAGCATTCAGAATGCCCGTGCGCGAACGTGTCAGGTGTTCATTCACTTCGTTCTTTCATGTGCAGTCTCACTCGCCATTGTCCTAACCTCGAAGTCAGAGTTATGACACATATCACACGAGTTGCACCTTCAATTGCGAGTTGAATTAAACTCTTCCACCGTCAGTCAAGTTAAAAACAAACCAGCAGTAAGCCCGTCGGTGAAGAATAGAACGACTAGTTCTGCATCCTTGCGACTTGCTATTTTTGTTTCTTTTCTAACCGGACTCAAATGGCTCGTTTCCTCAGAGTACTTCACCTTATATTATGTCTGGGCACAAATTGAGTTTCTTTCTTCTTGCACAGCAGAGAGCGGCATGAGGAAGCACAAGCACAACGTGGTTGCGACTAACAAACTTTGTATCCTGTCATGCATGTGTGCACTGCACGAACAGAAGGCTTTAACAATGAGGTGGGCACCTAGATTCTTATCGAGCTTTTCACGAGCGAGTTCATTGAGTAGAAAACGCCAGCAAGCAGTTTCATCTCTGATCCAATGATTCAGTTCTTCTGCAGGCCGCGAGGAGCATGATATCGATGTTTTTGAGTATCTGCACTCATGAAGTTCCATGACTTACGCGAAGCGTCTTGTTTCCACATTCTCTATGTGATGTCTTTATGCTCCCGTATCGCGGTTTTTCTTGCGTGGGCACACTTGTCTTCTCGAGTTCGCAGGCATTCCGGGCCCTTTGCCCCTCGAACCTCCTATCTAGCCGGGTCTAGCCGGGCCTTGCCTAGGCGCGAGAAGGAAAGAAAGCGGCGACTAGCCGAATCGCTATGCTGGGCGACTGAGTTCGGGTTTGAGTCGGGATTTCGGTTATTCTGGGATGTCCGGGATGTGTTGGATACTTTTACGGGTGCCCAGCGCCTGGGTGCGAGCATCTAGCAGCGGGCAGGGTGCAAGCACCCTAAACATCACTAAGTCACTAAGCATAAAACTCAACCGTGCACCCTTGACACCCTTCACACCTGCTGCAAAACCCTCAGTACCCTCAACTTTAAGCCCTTCAGCCGAAGAGGCCTGGATAGCCGACAGAGAGCAGCCAAGGACCTCCAGCGTCCTTTAAAACTTTAAAGACTTTAGCCGGGCTGGGGATTGAATGGACTAGGCCCCGCGAAGACACGACACTCAGCTACACGGAACTTCGTGGCGCGAATGTGCTCTCCTTGGTGCCGAGAACCTCTCTCCTTCCCAGACCGTTGTGTTGAGGGGCGTGTGATTTCTCAGAGTTTCGTTGACACGTTCAGAGATGCGTAGGAGGTGAACTCCTGGCTCGACGAAGTGAGGTATCTCGAGGCTGCGTTGGTCTGCGCCCGACCATGTTGAACCGAAGCTTTTGTTGTTTAGCTCTGTTGTCCCACGATGCGTGAAAGTGAGTGTGCTGGATTCATGGAAGTCCCATGAGTCCCATTTTTGGGAGCCTCTCTTGGTTTTACAGTACATCGTGGGCTTTTAACGCGGCCGCCATGTTGTTCAGGGAGTGTGGTAGGGGGGGGGGGGTGGGGGAAGGGGGGAAGGGGGGAAGGGGTGGCAGGGGGGATGGGGGGAAGCGGGGAGGTACTTGGGCTTTGGGCTTCTTAGGGGATGAGAGAGACTATGCAGAGCACTGTGTGAAGTGGCCAAGCTGAGCTCATGTTGCCAAGTCCATGTGATTTCTGCAGCTGGTCGGCTCCGACTGGCCAATGAAAAGGGTGGGCGAGGGCTATTGCTGCTTCCATCCTGGGGGTTTGGTGTCAGCCGAATAGCACTTCGGCGGCACGGGACAGTTGAAGGGTTGGCTTTGAGAATTCATTTGGGCATCTCTCATCGCTCGGCGCCAGACTTTGGCAAGATAGCTTTGAGTCCCTTCAGTGGTGTTCAGGGAAGGCTCAGGATTCCTTACAGACCGATTGAGTCTCCAACTCTTGTGCCGGTTACTCAACTTGAGAGCCCAAAGCCCCAAACCCCTCCAAACCCTTATGTAGTTTATTCGACTTTTCCTAACCGAAGACACCGCTGGCCGCGTGTTTTCACGCGTGCTCGAGCTTCATGGACCTTTGCTAGAGGTCCAGGCCCCCAAAGGCCACAGCGAACGTAGTCTCGGCTCGCTAGTCAGCCCCCACTGCTGCTCCATCCAGCCCTAAATCTAAAGGGCTAACTTGCTTCACGGACAGCGAATCAGAACATGACAGGGCTTGCCTCGAACTCTTCGAACCCCTAGGTGTTTCCCAACTCATCTCAAGGTGCTTTTTGACGGGGTTGTCCTACGTCCCGTGCTGCAAAAGTAGGGCCTAGCATGGGTGTTGAGCACATAGGCTTCCCCACAAAACTCCCAAACTCTTACCAAAAATGCGGCAAAGCCGTGAACCCTTCAAGGCTGGCTGATGGAAGGGCCGGCCGCGCCGGCTGCGCCCGCTGCGCCACCCCCCCTGTCCAGACCTCAGAGTGCCCAAAGAGATGTTTGAATGAGATTTTGTGAGCATCCTTGCATCATTCTTCTGTGCGCTGAGGCTCGCCAAAGTCGAGAGGGACGAGGCAAAGCTGACTGAGGAGGCTCGGCCAATTCCTCTCCTAGAGTCCCAGGTCCTGAACTCCAACACCAGCTGCTCAAGCCCTGATCTAAATTTCAGTTGGGTGGCACTGCAGTTAGGTATGAAATTGAAAGGTTTCGGGGATGGGGAGCTTGTGGGAGTTGGATGCTGTCGGTTTTGTTTTGTGGTGCTGGCGCTGCAATGTCACAGCTTGCAGAAACTGGTGGGCTTCTCTTGCGCACCACCAGCTCTCAGCTGATAGCGCAACCCGCTGCTCCAGCTTGGGCCGTGGATGTGAAATGATCGGGAATCGGTAGCGGCAGAGAGCTCTGCCCCATGCGATCCCTCGCCCTTAGCAAAACTTGGGATCCGGGAGGGGCCGACTTGAGACACTCGTGTTTGGTGAAAGCACACGGCGCCTGGCCCAGCTGCTACGCGTTTTTTTGAGGTCTCGAACTTTGGCTTTTAGAGCGTGGCGATATCTTAGTATGAGGGCAGGGTGCCTTCCCGCCAAGCCACCCGGCGCACGTGGTTTTATGGAACATCGTGCCACCCCAAAGCCCGACATTCAACAATTCAACAAAGATCCCGGCCCGGCTAGCTAGCCGTCAGCACCACAACCCGCTTCCTTTCCAAGACATGCACGGCAATGAACAAATGAGGGACGCCTGGCAATGGAAAGGGGTTCTCATCCTCATTCCTCGGTGCCCCCCACTTCCCTACCAGGCAACCCCTCCCCCCCCCCCCCAACTCCTACCCGCCCTCCTCAACTCCTCCAACCTCCCAACCTCCCCCAACCTTTCTCCACAGGATACCTCTCTATTTTGATAGGAGTGCGTGCCACCGCAGAAGGACTCATTTTGGAAGTTGCCACCGCCGAAAGACTCATTTGGAACGCGCAGACATTCTACAACTGTGGTCTTCTGATCATGAAACACCTGTGCTCTGATGTGACTGATTGTGAATGTTCCAAGATGAGTCCAATCTGTGTTCAAAATGGAACCTTTGTGCCTGACGTTATGGCCTCAATGCTGAGCCTGGTGCAGCCCGAGCAATCGCCCTGTGATCCCTGCAGGACGCAGGCGGCTTCCTTGACAGCGAGCCGACTCTATCAAAGCCTGGGCAACGGGGGTTTGGGGGCAGGTTTGCAGGTTGGACATGACCCGCAACTCTGGGGTCTTGGAATTTTCAGGATCTGAGCTTCAGGCCCTAATCCGGATACTGCTTGCACAGCAGAAGGGCGAGCAAACAAATCGTTGTGGTTTGTCCATGATGGCGTTTGAACTTCGAGGTTTCGGGTGTTAACCTTAGAGGCAAGCTCGCGTGAAACCTCAGCAGCAGCGCATCCCGAGAGACTGGTCTTCCACCAGATCCGACCCAACATTCCTGGACAATCTTTCAACCAGAATCGTTCCCTCCTCTGCACCTCCAACCCTGGGTAGTGCCCTCACAAGAGATGGCGATTCTTGCTAGAACATGCTAGAACGTATTGGGTTTTCCCCGAAGCCGCAGAGACCTGGGAGGAGCAGCAGCCCGATCATCGAGTTTCGAGAGGCGGTTCATTCTTGGGTTTGGATATCTTATGCGTGATGTATTTTGTGATTCTTTCCCTGAGTTGACCCTAAGCCCCTCAAGCCAATTATCGAGCCTGGGTTTGAGGCATCAGGGCTTGGGTGCAGAGTCTTGGGCAAGCCCTTTGTTCAGGATGCCGGGCTTGGGAGGCAGGGGAGGGTTGACTGCGACTTTGGAATTTTGGAATTGAGTGAGAAGGTCACTGGAAAAGCTTGCAGCCCGCTTCGTTTCTGAATTACAAACGAAGTTGAAACCGTACCACGGGCTCAAGAACATGAGCAGTCCTTAATTTTAACGCTACGCGACCCGCCTCGGCCCGGCCCAGCGCATCCGCGTGAGCATGGTGATTCCGCAGCGCCCAAGTCGCTGGACCCCAAGCAATAAGGGTTGGGTTGAGGGTTGAGGGTTGAGGGTTCCGGGTTTATGGTTTATGGTTTGGGGGTTGAGGGTTAGTTTAGGGCTCAAGGTTCACGCTTTGGGGTTGAGGGTTTTTTTGGGTTTAGGGTTCGGCTTGGAGTGATCGTAGGGTTGAGCCAGGCCCCTTAAGGTTTAAGGCGACTCTTTGGCAGGGGTGGGGTGGGGTGGGGGGAGGTGGGGGGAGGGGAGGGGGGGGGGAGGGGAGGGGAGGGGGGGGAGGGGGGGGGGGGGGTGGGGGGAAGGGGGTAGGGGGGATGGGGGGGGGGGTAGGGGGGGGGGGGGGTGGTGGGGGGGGGGGGGTGGGGGGGGGGGGGGTGGGGGGTGGGGGGGGGGGGGGGGGGGTGGGGGTGGGGGTGGGGGTTGGGAAACAGGGGGGCCCTGCTGGGGGGGGCTTCAACTGCCTCTGGTCCTGGCGAACCGTCCGCTTGCGGACCCCGGTTTCCCAGGAAAAATACCCATTTGAGGCCAAAAAAAGGGCCGAAAAAGGGGTTTGGGTGTGGGGGGGATTTGGAGGGGGTGCCTGTTCTGACAACCTATACACCTCCGGCCCGAGGCCTCGGCGGATTTCGCCAATTTTCGTGCTTCGTTTACTGCCCCTTTATTCACTTCGTCTTTTTATTAATATGTTTGGGTGAGAAGAGTGCACGAGTGCTGCACGAACACTATGAACGAAGTGAACATCATGAATGCACGTGTGAACACAGTAAATAATTGGCCCTGTATATTTTATTGTATTCACGAGCAGGAATGAAGAGAATAATTTTAACGCTACGCGACCCGCCTCGGCCCGGCCCAGCGCATCCGCGTGAGCATGGTGATTCCGCAGCGCCCAAGTCGCTGGACCCAAGCAATAAGGGTTGGGTTTAGTGTTCAATGGGTTTAGTGACCGAGGGTTGATGAAAAGAAGCTTGGAAGCTTTTGGCCAACAGAAGAACCGTGCAAACCTTGAGAAATATCTGCTTCTCTGTCTCTCTCTCTCTCTCGCACGCATGTACAGATAAATAGATGTATGAAGGGCAATGCAAAGTCATGCATGTTATAATCTAAAGTAAAGGAATATTGTGTTATGTATGTATGGTCCCGTGTGTGTGTGTGACCACTCCCCACGCAGGTACTCCTTATTGGCGCCCTAAACCCGAAAGCCCAAACCCCAAGCCCTCGTGCAAACTCCGAACCCAGGAATCCCAAACAGTAAAGCCCGTATACCGTACTCCCTAAACCCCTCAACCCTAAAACCCCAAAGCCTAAAGCCCAGACGTGAGTTTGCCTGTAAGTAGCACAGGAAGGTAGGAGCACGTTGACGCAAGCCTAAGAAACCTCTTCTGATTCATGATGCACACCGCAGGGCCCTTGAGCTCACCCCCAAAATCGCGTGCTACACAGTCCACCTGGAAGTAGCCATCTGGCCGGTTTTCCGGAGCTTGGATAGGGTTCACTGTTGTCGAAGTAGAATCCGCCCAACGCAGTCCGTTCTGGGTTTACGCTTCCGCCGGAAATGGAATATCTGGCATGAAGCGGCCTGATCGGCTGGATCTGCGTGTGCCAGCTAGGATGCAATGGTCATCAACATGGTTTGGGCTGGTGATTTGCGTGGGCCAGATATACCGAAAAGGATGCAACGAACGTTATTGAGAAGGGTTTCATCTCCCAGTTTCCGGAACCTCAGACTTGCGAGGGCCGTAGCCATCATGGATGAGAAGGCCCAGTCATCGTTCCCCGTCCAGTTCAGTTGTCCATGTTCTGCTCTTGAGCGACGCGGCCCATTCCCTTCTTCTTCTTCTTGAAGCAGCAACGACC